GGTGGGGGTTGTATAGAGTTTTTTAAAGATGAAAATTCAGTATATTAGAACCTCATTTCTTCATATCAAAAACAGAATGCCCCTTCCAATTATTGTTATTTTTTAATCAAATGCAGTTTTGAGAAGTAATACACTTGAGTTCATGTACCTTTTACCCAGTTTCCCCCAGTGGCAGCATTTTGTACAACTGTAGTATAATATCACAACCAGGGTATTGACATGGTTACATTCTATTAGACTTACTCAGATTTCCCCTGTTAGCCTCGTACTTGTGTGTGTGTGATTTAATTCTATACAATTTTATCATCTGTAGGTTTGTATCTACCACCACAGCCTTCCAATGATTTTGAAAAGTGTAGGAAATACTAGAGTTAGAAAGGACTAAAAGTCTCTGGCCAAGCTCCCCACTATGGTGATTACATAGTATTAAGTCATTAGAACTGACATTAATACTGTGGACATTAATTTTTTTATTAATCTCCTTTCCCATGTTGTAAATGTGTGTGAGTGCAAGAATCATTTCCTGTTTCCTTATACCTGTAGCCACACCACAGCCCAGAGCTTACCTCAACACTGTGCAGAGATGTCCAACTCATGTTTAAAACTCGAAATACATGTGGTTCAATACAAATAAAAAGTAGGAATGTCTTAGATTTTTTTCTCTGCTTTTAAATTGAGACTAGTATTTTTCAAAGCTTGCATTCTTATTTTATTTACTTTCAAATAGTATGCTTTACTACATGAAAGTACTTTATGGATGTTTGATCTTTTGAAGGTGGTGTCGCTGCCTTTGATAAAAAAGTAATTAGATGAGCATTTCCAGGTAGAGGTAATCTTCAGAGCTTGAAAATGCCTATTTCCTTTCAACTATTATATTTGTAGGCACTCTCCTCCCTCCCCCCCCTTCCATTTCTTTCTCTCTTTTAAGACAACCCTTATGAAAGAGAATTCTTCAGAACAGTGTTGGGGGGAAAAAAAATCCAGCTTTTCTCTAATGGACCATGACAGGAGGTAGTTATGTCTTGGGTTTTATGTGGTGTCTGATGTGCTCTCTGAAAAGAAAAATGCTAGCAGTGATTCACCAGTTCTTTGGAGAATAAACACAAAATTTCTGTATTTTCATATAATCTGGGGTACTATTAGGAAGATAGAAGTTATATCTTTTTTTTCCTCTCGTATGGGATTTGAAATTAATGTTTTCTGCCTATGTTATGAAATTTTTTAAATCTTGGAAATTAAGTGGTTGGCTATCTTGCTAGGTAAATTGAAAAGAAATTGCCTGGTGAAGTGTTGGTGGAGCCCACACAAGTGCTCGTTCCTGGGGCAGCCTTGACTTCAGAGGGACAATGGGAATTTCAGAAATGGCTTCTAGTGCCAAATAGGACCCCGAGGAGCTGTGGGTATTCAGGGGAGTTATAATGCATAGCCTCTGTAGAAAAGATAGTAAGGGTACCTACCACTGAATTAGCTGATTTAGTCATTCATTCATCCATCAAATATTTGGTGAGTGCCTACAGTATGCCACGCATATACATAAAGATACTCTACAACATAGTAACTTCCTTTAAAGGATTCATGTGGTTCGACTTATTGCCCATCTCCAACATGAGCCATTTACACTGTAAAGAGCTTCAGTCTTTAAACTGATTCTGTTAAATTTGTCTGTCACTCCTCATACCTCTGTTCTCCCCCCTAGTCCTCAGATTTGGAGATTTAGCCTGGCCAGTAAATCAGGACAGGGATTTGATGATAACATTGACCTTCCCGGGAGAAAAATATGCCATCGTCTGCTTCCCTTCCCCTGGCGGCAGAGGCCACTGATCTCTCTGTCCCTCTCTGCAGAGTAGGGCTGATGATAATCCTGCCTCACCTGGCAGAGGGAGTATTGCAGGAGTTTGTGTGCCAGGCTCCGGAGATGCGGACTTTCACTAAAGCCATTCCTGCCGTCATGGAGACCACACACACATGGGTGAGGGCCACACATGTCCATACCAGCTAAGGGCGGCATATCATCCTCTGCTAAGGGTGGGCACAGCACCCTCGATGGCCAGGAGGATGGATGGGGGAGCTGGAAAGTTTTGGGTCCTGAGAGAAGGCCAGGAATAGATGAGCAAGGGCCCTGATGGCAAGATGGTGGTCATCACTACAATTTATTGTCCAAATGAGGACACTTAAAAAAAATATTGCGGCAATATAGCAAATAGGGATGCTTTTGTCAGTAAAGGTGGTGCCATTAATAGCAATGCAAGGACAAGCAGACTGTGAGTGCAAACTGAGACAAGAGGCTACTCTACAGGATACCCTTGTTGTTTTCAGTTGCCTATCTTGGTTTCTGGTCTCTTTTTTTTGCTTTTAGAACTTGTACTTTTAGAACTTGTTGGATGCACATGGCTTGGCACAGTGTAGCTGAAAGCTGAATGGGTTAATTGGCCCAGAAAAACCTTGGTGTGTAAATGCTATGATACAAAAACATGCATGTGGCTAACGTCAGTGATTTTATACAAAGAGACTATGTGACATTATGTTTTAACATATTTTAAATGTTTAACATGATGTTTAAACATGTGTTTGTATACACACGTACTTTACATACATATGTAATTATTATAATTTTTTACATATAAATATATTGAGGCACAGAGAAATTAATTTCTGCAGCTAGGACTCCACAGCCGGATAGTAGTAGAGACAATTACCACCTAACCTTTGGACATTGCTTTAAAAATCTGTTTACTAAGCATGATATTTATTTAATAATTTTGATTATCAAAGTGTAATGTTTGGTGATCACGGGATATGCCCTTTAATATACTATTTCATTAGTTCTCAAAATTTAGAAAGAGTTTTAAAAAAGTAGTTTGAAGCTTAAAAAGAGATAAGAGAGAGGTGTACAACATGGTATAGCACAGTAGATACTAAAAGAACCTTTTTGAATGCTTTTGTAAGTTGCTGGAAGGTGATAGCAAAGGTGAGGAAGTTGCTTTTGAAGAGACTCTGATGAGTGAACTTCTTGACTCTTAAATATCTTCTTTGTTTACTGTTCTATAATCTCATCAACTGTTGTTAAAAAGTGCTTCATCTAAGATTTACTCTTTTGTTTTTTTTAAATATCTTTATTGACTTCAGAGAGAGTTGAAACATCAATGAGAGAGTCATTGATCGGCTGCCTCCTGCATGCCCCCCGACTGGGGATAGAACCTCGATCTTCCAGATCCTAGATCGATGCTCAACTGCTGAGCCATGCCCAACAGGGCTAAGATTTACTCTTGATCTATTTTGTACATTTATCACTTGCTGCCCTTGGCCAACATTAAATGAATCTTGGTGATACTTTCATATTATATTATTGTATTATTTTGTATTAGTAGAGAATGTTAAATGCCACAATAAAAAGGAACATTTACAGAGCCTTATTTCTTGAACATTTAGTACAAAAACAGCTCTTAAATTTGCATTTTCTTTTTAAAAAAGTTTTAGACACACATCACCATACCTTTGGGGCCCCCTGCCCTCCACCTGCACTCCTTTGGTACCTCGCTCACACATCAAACATGGCCAGGACTGAAGCTGTCTTCCCATCCCTGACATAGGCATTTGTTTAGGATAAAAACAGCGCAGTTGATGCTCGCAGTCATTTCAGGCTTTTCAATTTGTCTGGGACACCATGCTGTTTGACATCCTTCATTGCTCCTTATGAGAAAGAAGCAAAAACTGCAAAGCAGAAAAGTTTAAGAAGTCATAAAGAATTGGGGCTGAATATAGAACACTTGGATTATAGAAACATAAATGGTCATTTTTATGCCTGGGACGATCAAAAGCACACTCTCTGCATGTGTAATCAGATGCCCAGTAAATACTTTCTCATAGTAAAAACGTAACATGTCAAGTGTCAGTAAAAAGGCTATAAACTATGCTGTTCCCAAATCATGTTTTGTTTTGTTTATATATCTCACTTATATGCTTATTTTGTCATTTGATAGTCTTCCTATCTGTTGTTCAGTCTCATTAGAACTTGAGGATCAAGTTTTAAGAGGATTTTTTATTTTTTATTTTTTTTACTGTTACAGCTAAGGACTAAAGAAGAAAACAGTTAAATCTAAGTGTTGTCAATGTCCACCTATAAAATGCTATTTTGGGACAAATTGAGTAATGTGTAACTGGTGACATTAAGAACAGCTATAGAAAGAATAACTTATGACTTTTTTTTTTTAGGTTTGTAGCCAAACCATGTGCGATAGCCCTCAACATTCAGGCCAGTGGACCACAGGTTGCCCAGCCTAATGCCATTCTGGAGAAGGTCTTCACTGCAATCACAAAGGTAAGGCTCTCCTTTCCTGGGACGTGAACTGTCATGGCCACAGTTCTCAGTGCGAAATCATTCATCCCATTCTCCCTTGGGTTTCAGAATGAACTTTTGCCTATCCTCATGCTGGGAAGTGCGCTCTCAGAAAGCACACAGGCACTGTGACTAGATCTAAATGGGTAGGAGCCGAATAAATGGGGGCACGTTTGAGACCTGTTTGTTTACTCTCAAGTTGATTTCAGAAGCTTGTCTGTGAAGAATAGTATAAATTAGGTAGTGATTAATCTAACTCTGTGCCTCTTTTAATCTCATGTGACATGAAACAGTACACATAACAATTGGCAGGGACTTCGTAGAGGCGAATGAGTAGAGATGAGGAATGTAATTAATGTATATGTGAAAAAATGTGCTTATTTGCTTATAGCCAGGTTTGTATGTTCTAGCCGTTGTGGTACACAGGCAAGTATGAAAAAAAGGAATAATTGAAGGCAAGAAGAGTTGCAACGTGAAGGGAGGGAGGGAGAATGAGGGCCAGGAGAATGGTAAGTTATAGATTCACTGTGGAGAAAATAGGAGACAAGACAGTCACTCTGGTCCAAACTAGGAGTGGGAAGAGAAGAGCAGGAAGGGAGAAGAGATAGGCAAAGATTGCCCTGCACCCCAACTGCTATCTCCCTAAGAACACAGAGTGGAGGAGAAAGGCAGAAGTCAGAAACCCTCGGTCCAAAGCCATGAGAAACTAAAGCAAACTACCCCATCCCAATATCTTAGTCTCACCATGTGTCTCTGGTATCTTACTCTTGCATGGACAAAAAAGTAGAAAACACCAGAAGTGTATCATTCTGTGAGAAGTACTGTGTGTTTATATGATAAATGGTTAATTTGTGTGTTTGTGTAACACATGGTTCCCTCTTTCATTTTCCTGGGAGAATCACTCAGGCATTTAAGATGGGATTTGACAGTGTTCAGCAAATTTCATTCCTTTTTTGGTATCTGCGTTGCTAACCATTCATATCATTTGTCTCTTGTCTTCATAATATTCATTCAAATATTCAAACATTTTTGTTTATTTTATGATCTTTGTTCCTGCCAAGATTCTCTAGGGTTTTTCCCACTGTCCTTTTAGAAATGGTATTTTTCCTGGAAAAGTACAAGAAGCTCCAGGTGTTTTTTGTTTTGTTTTTTCTTATGTCTCTGCTAGGAAGGAGAGAAGAATGAATGGAATTTTAAGAAAAGTAATTTTGGTAGTTTCAGACAGCCAGGTTTATCCTGCAGGGGCACATCCTACAGTTTTTAAAGGAAGAAAGTACTAAGAAAAACCTTGCATTTTTACTTACTCTATCAGTTTACTGCAGTGAAACACCTTTCTACCCCTAAAAATGCAGTTGTGTAGGAAGGTATCAGGTTCACTTTTTTTTTTTTTTTGAAATATGTCTTTATTGATTTCAGAGAGAGGAAGGGAGAGGGAGAGAGAGAGAGAAACATCAATGATGAGAGTCATTGATTGGCTGCCTTCTGCACGTCCCCTACTGGGGACCAAGCCCGCAACCCGGGCATGTGACCTGGCTGGAAATTGAACCGCAGTCTCCTAAATCCTAGGTAGATGCTCAACTGCTGAGCCACACCTGGTCAGGCTCAGGTTCACTTCTTAATGTGATTACAACATATTTTTATTTTCCTTGCAAACTGCTCTGAATGTATAATAAAGTGATTTTTCTCCCTAAATGCTATGCGTCCCTTTAGAAACCCTGCAGTGGACATTTTATTTCCCTTGCTTTATGTTTATTACGATTACTGGAGAAATTTCTTTTATAAAGGTAATGAAAGGAGGAGTTGCAGGTAGGTTAACTGCTTTGGAGACTGTAGCTAATTTTAATGATCATATTCTCTTAGTTTCCAAGGTGATTCTTTTGGAAGTTTTAACATAATTAAAACAAGAGCCTTATGTTATAAATGCAGCAAAAGTTGTAGCTGTTTTTCATTGAATTCTTTGTAGTTCTCCAGTGTAATTTGTGATATGAGAAAGTGATAGGGTGACCAGAATAGAAGTAGCAGGACTTGGAGGGTTGGAACATGTGTATGTGTCTGAGTGATCATCCAGCATCCTGCCCTTGACCATGGTTCCAGGTCAAGGATATATACTATGTGTGTGTATGTGTGTGTGTGTGTGTGTGTGTGTGTGTTTATATATATATATATATGTGTGTGTGTGTGTGTGTGTGTATATATATATATATATATATGCATATATATGTATCTTTTGGGAATTCTCCTGCCGTATTCCAATAGCCTCACTTTTCTAATCAATTCAATCCTTGAACCATTGAGAGAAGACTATATCTGTCAACTATGAAACCAGGTTTAATGGTCCAGAGAAATCATATTACAATCCACTTGGGTATGTTATACTGTTTTAAAATATATAGGAAAACTTCCTATAATTTGTTCTTCCTCATTTACCTCTTATACCTACCACCTTTTTTTCCTTTATACTTCATTTTCCCCTCCCAGTACTGGTTATGATTCTTAAAATTCACCTAGGTATTTCTGGTATAAAAATGTCTCTGTAAGTCAGCTTTTTTCATTTCTTTCTGTGGAGATATTAAAAAAGACAAAAAACACCCTGTGAAATAGAATTAAAAAACAATACTAAAAATATACACACTCAAAAAAATAACTTTACTTTTGACAAACTAAGAGATACATTATCTTTAGACTTCAAAATATGTATGAAAGCTAACAAACAATGGTTGGGGTTGAGCAGAAGCCAAATAGCAGGAAGTGAAAAGCATGAAGTATGGATGGAGGGCCCAGCGAGGGTTGATTTCAGGAAAGTCGGCAAAAAAGGCAGTTCTTGAAGGTAGGACAAAAGCTGTATCCACAGTGTTTGCCACACTAGGTGCAGGAACTGGTGAGCAAGGCTGGTAGATGTCCTCCTGGACTCAGTTTAATTCAGAGAGGGGGAAGAAGTACACAGGAAACCATGTGGATGGCACGTCCTCTGAAGTTAGTCTACCTTGGTGGCAGTGAAACTGCAAAAGTACTCTCCCTGCTCCTCATACTACTAGGAACTAGTCAAGAAAATCCAACTCCCTCAATTATGAGTAATAAAAAGGGAACACACACAGCACCAAAGACAAGGAAAAGAATGTATAGCAATGCTTATCAACGAAAATTGTCACTAGAAAAAATGAGGCCACCGGGCAAATGAAAATTGTGATAAAATATTTTACCATAAATTTAAAAAAAGCAATAACTCTTTGAAGGGAAACTACAAAAAAGAAATACAACACTTAAAGAAAAAAATGGTTGGTCAACGAAAGAGATGCAATGTGAGCTGGTAGGTTCAGGAAGAAAGTTCTAAAATTATCACAGAAATGAAGACAAAATTGGAAAGAACACAGCAAATGCTAGACACTGCAGAAAACTCAACAAGAAACATGGGTGTAGAAATAATAAAACTGAATTAAATGAAACAAAAAAAGCTAAAAATAATTAGATGTATACACCAGACAGATGCAGCATCTGCATAATTGAAATTCCTTAAGGAAAAGCAAAATAGAATAAATATTGAAAGATATAATTCAAGAAAATTATCTTAAAATAAATGGAGATTTATTTTAATATGTTAATGAAAATGTCATAAAAATTGACCCAAGAAGGTTACCTACCACCAAGACTTATATTATTAAAATTGTTATACTTGAAAAACAAAAGAATAATTCTTTGATAAGACAAACAAAAAATCACATCAGTTATTTAGGGGAAAATATCAGCATGACTTTAATCCTCTGTATATGGCAACATTCAACAGAACAGCATTTTCAAGGAAAATGTGAACTAAAAATTTTATATATAGGCAAATTGTTTTTCCTGAGTAAAGGCTAACGACAGATTTGAAAGTGAAAAAATTTGGGGGAATTGTTCCCATGAGTCCTTTGGAGAAATTATTATCATAATTTCAGCTGACCAAGAGATGACCTGGGAATGTTAGCGAGTTTTGAATACACTTAAACTTTAGAACTAAGAAAGAAATGTGAGGGTTAGGACTACAGAACAGGCAGGGCAGGCCATAAATGTTATGTGCTCTCACAATGTAGAAATGATACAACAGTAATTGAGAGGGGAAGGGGAAAGAAGGTGAGAGGTAGAGTAAATTTACTAAATGCTTAATCTCTGGTAGCAGGTGGTCCAAGCATATTAGTTTAAGCAGCCAAATCAAGTAATAGAAGTACAATTGTGCACATTTAACAACACCAGAGTAAACTCTAAGAGAGATAAAATTATTGACTAATGTTGGGTGGGAGAGGGAGAGGAAATACTGCTCATATGAAATTATTATTAACTGAAAACAAACAGAAGAGTATTATGATCACATGAATAGTCATTAAAACAAAAAATACCCACAAAAAGGAAGGAAAATAAAACAAACCATATTTGGTAAAATTTTTAAAAATTAACTATCAAAAGAGAAAGTATACCATAATTGAGGGAACTATAAACAAACTTTTCAATTATATTAATACATGTAAATGATTTGACTCATCTAATAAAAATAATTCCGGTTTGGGTCACATAGCTTATAAGAGATAAGATATAGTGATTAAAAAACATTGAAAATAAGACTATGAGTAAAAGTATATCGGCAAATATAAGTAATAGAAAGTAGAGTTTCTATTTTTATAGAAAAGCGGAATTAAGGTCAGGAAGGATTAAATGAAATGAAGAGTTAGCTTTTTATTGCTAAAGGATACATTTCACAATGAAGATAAAATAGTTATAAATATACATGCATTGAATATAAGTGTATCCATATACTCAAAAAATAATGAAAAAAGAAACAATAGTTAGAAATTTAAATTTATCTTTGGGTCATGACAAATCAAGTGAATAAAATATAAAGCAGAATATAGAAATTCTAATAAAACATAATTAATGAGGAAGATCTAAGAGGTACATTTAGAACCCTCTACTTTGAATATAGACCATACTTTTTCAAGTGCCTATTAAATATTTACAAAATTTCACCTTTTATTATATACAAAACTGAAATAAGTTTTAAAAGTAGGCACAATTTAATAATACTAGGAAGCAGAAATCTTCTTGCTTTCTCAGTCAACTCTTAAGTAATAATAAAATTTCAGAATATTTAGAAAACAGTGATGATGGAAGCATTACATATATACACACATACGTATGTGTATTTGTATACATACCAAAGGTGTGCCCAGATGAAAACTCATGTATATATAAAAATATAGTTAACCACTTACTTAATAAACATTAGAAAAATGACAACAAAATAAATGATGGTAAGCAAAAGGAAGAATTTAATAAAGATAAATGGGAGAACTGAGTTAGCAACACTGTAGATTGGAAGATTAATCCAAAAGTACCTTATCTGTTTAATGTTTTATAGAAAGTCAGATTACCCAATTAAGAAAAAAAAGAATAAATTTACAACACAATAATTAACCTAATAGTCAATAATCACAGACATGGAGGGAAATAAAAAAAGATATATTTCTATTAACATTGAAAATAAAATATAAGAACTTGGATAAAATGTAAATTATTCTAGGAAAATATAATTTACCAACTATAATTTGCATTGTGTGTGTGCGTGCGTGTGTGTGTGTGTGTGTGTGTAAATCAAAGAGCTAAACTGCAAAGAAGTACCAGGCTCAGATGCTCTCAGAAGAAAATTCTAACACACTCTTAAAGAGCAGGAAATTCCAATGCTATTTTAAACTATCTCAAAGCATAGAAAATTAAGAAAACCATCCAATTTTTTAATGTAGCAATAAAACATTAATATCAAAGTCTCACAAAGATTTCACACAAAAATAAGACTAGAGACCATTGTACTTATTAATATTGATGGGGAAAAAATTTGCAGGCAGACTTAGCTGCACATTAAAAGAATTATTCATCATCATCCAATAGGGTTTATTCTAGGATGCAAGGCCTTCCTTCCCTGAATTCAGTATTAAACATCTATTTAAATAATTTATCATATTAATTGATCTAAGGAGAAAAAAGTACATGATCATCTCCATGGATCCTGAAACCTAACATCGTTTTGATTGAAATAAAATTATCTCACTAGGGTGAGGTGGTTTCCTTTATATGATAAGTACATTTGTATATCAGACCCAGATCTGGCCTCTTGCTTAATGAGAAACAAGGGGGCATTCCCAGTAATGTCTGGAACAGACAGGGATGTTTATAGCCACCGTTTTACATAGTACTAAGTTTTATATTTAATTAGCAAAAAGATAAGAGAAAGAAAATCAAAGCATAAAAATTAGAAAGGAGCAGATAAAGCCATGGTTATGAGAAGATTTATTCATTCATTCAAGAAGTATTGAGACCATACTATATTCTAGGTACTGGTGGAAAAAGACTAAAATGTCCCTTGTTTATAGAGTTGCCATTCTAGTAATATGCTATTATATGACTGTATACCAGGAAAATTAACCACAAATGATGTGAAATATTATCACGAAATTAGTAACCATATATACACGCAGACATTAAGCAGTTAGAAGATATAAGAAAATTCTTTATTTACAAAATTCCCAAAAAGATAATATCCCTAGGAATAAATGTAACAAGGATGTGCAAGGTATATGTTAGGAAATCTGAAACACTGTTAAAGGACACAAAAGACAAATTGAGTAAAGATGTCAGTTCACTCTACGTTAATTTTAAGAACTCAGTATAACCTTATTAAAAATCCCAACACGTTTTCTTGTTTGACCATTTGTTTATAGTTTGAAACTAGACAAGCTAATTCTAAAGTTCTTATAGAAAAATAAATAAGGATTTCTGAGTAACCTAACTGCATATACTTGCACAAACATAATAGAACAATGGAAGAATAGATTCAGTTTCTCATGGGAAAAAGATGAACAGTGGTTTTGGGCTATCTGGGTAGCCATTTGGAAAGAAAGTTAGATTCATACTTCCCACTATATACTAGGATATATTCCAAATGTTCTAAAGATCAAATGTAAAAATAAAAACAATAAATGCATTAGAATAAAAACTGTACATGTGGGAGAATTTCTTGGACATTTAGAACAGAAAAATCTTTTCTAATTATGACCCATATTCAGAAGCTATAACAAATGATTCATAAACTCAAATATGTTTTTTAGAAAACTTATGCAAGTAAAAAACACAAGCAAACAAACACCATAAACTAACTATCAAGCACAAATGACACATTGCTACAAAGTACACACAGAGATTTAATGGGAGAAATTAAAGAATAATTGAAGAAATTCTACAAATCAATAGAGACAGTACCTACAAATCAAGAAAAAAATGAATAATAGATATAAAAAGACTGCTCATAAAAATGAAATATAGATGGTTTTTAAAACACATGAAAAGATGCTTCTCCATAAAAGAGGAAATCAAATTTAAAAATATACTGAGATACTATTTTTATATATCATGCCTGAAAAAAATTGAAGTCTGATAATAAACTCTGTTGATGAGGCTTTGGGAAATGTGCCCTCTGCTTGTGTGAGAGTACTAGTTGGTGAAATTATTAATGAGGGTGAATTTTTCAATATCTAAATACATTGCAAATGCATAGACCCTTTGATCTCCAATGTTCACTTCCAGGAATTTATACCCGTATATAAAATGGCCTGTAAAAACTGACCCATGACACGGTTATTTATTGCAGCATTGTTTATAGTAGTGGAAGTTTGGAAGCCAGCAAAATGTCCATTAATAGGGGAGTGGATTCGTAAATTATGGCATATTCTTACAGTTCTACAAAAGAAGGAGGGAATTCTTTATATTTTGATAATGGAAATATTTCAAGACACATTGTAAAGTGAAAAACCCAAAGTCTGGAATGATGTGTGTAACATGCAAGCATGTATGTGACAAGGGAGATATAAGAACACATATTAAAATTTGCTTATATTTGCATAAAATAAGTCTGAAAAGAATCTGATTTAACAACTGGTTACCTGGTAAGAAGGGGAGAGTAGGAACTGAGAGAGTAGAAACAAAGTAGGAAGGTAAAACTTTGGATATTTTTTAATTTGCGAACCATGTGAATGTTTTACCTAGTCATAAACTTAGAAAATAAATTGAAATGAAAAATGAAGTCTTCTAGGGAAATGGTATATCCAGGGCATATTGTAGGCTGCACATTTTCTTTCTCCCATATTTTTTAATTAGGAGAGACATGGAAGGAGAGTGTAAACGGTGTCATGACTACTAATAAAAACACCTCAACCTACATGCTTTATTGAAAGTTGGCAAATAACTTTTACAGACACAAGCTCAGCACATTTTATAACCTCAGTCATAACACGAAGGCCATCGGCTGTTTCCTGTCTGTCGGACACCTTGAATTGATTGAGATGCTTTAAAAGATGTCATGTGAACATTCTACCCTCATAACAAGAATGCTGAACAGTGGTCTGCCTTCCCCTGTTTTTGTTATTTCCTCTGATCAATAACATCTCCTTAATATGAAAGCAAAGGTAGAATAAATAAAGACTAGAGCTAAATTAGTTTAATAGTATTGTGTGGCAGGTCTCCCTCCCATAATTTTTGGCAGCGTGCTCTCTAAGAGATTGAAGAGAAGGGAAGGGCAGGAAAGGGGGGGAACTAACATTTGCTGAGCTTTACATACATTTTCTACATTTGGCCCTCCATCCCATTTAGGTGGATAAATAACCCTTTTTTTAAACATGCAAGGAAATCAAGGCTCAGAGACGTAGGTCCTTGGAGCGAGGTCATCTCCTAATGTCACAGAAATGTGTGAGAGACAACATTTATCATCACATGGAAGCATAAATAGCATCTCTTTGCACCTCACCGAGTTTGTGTCAAGTTGTGCATAGTCCTTGTAAAAGGTTTGATGGGGACCTGGTCAAAAGGAATGACCAGGAGAAGGAACAGAGGAAAAATGTGTGAGTGAAGAACAGAGGAGGGGGAGAGAGAAAATAGATTTTGTGGTGGAATTGGTACCTTATGCTAAGGCGAGGTGTTTTGAGATTATTCCATGCTTTTTGTTATTTCCTGATAAATGATAATTGGGTACAGCTTTTTTTCTCCCCTGAGAAAATGAAATATTGAAATGATGCCTCTTTGCTAATTCACCTAAGGGGGACTTTTCCTCTCTGTTGCAGAAAACTTTGTTGTTGAACTTTGTTTTGAAACTCCTTTCCTTGCAGGCTAAGGGAGCTAACTCAGCCAGTTGGCTGCCCCATTTGAATCTTTGTTGCTGATAAGAAGTGCAAGCATTGGAGCAAGATTCGTATTTTTCAATGTTATGTTACAATGAATAACTTTTCTTGTCCTCAGTGGTTATTTATGTTCATGCTGCTAATGGAAGGCCTACGTCCTCAGTAGTAAATGTAGAAATTTCAGTAGGAAATGGTATATATAGAAAAAAAGATCTCAACTGTAGGCAAGGGCAAATCTATTTATGGTGAAGATGAAAATGATTTTCCTGGTATGTACCTTGTTTCATAGCATCCTGATGAAAAGAGACTGGAAGGCCTCTCCAAGCAGCTGGACTGGGATGTTCGCAGCATTCAGCGCTGGTTTCGACAAAGACGCAATCAGGAGAAGCCAAGCACGCTGACAAGGTTCTGTGAGAGCATGTAAGTTGCTGTTTTTCTTTTTGAAAGAAAAATCTATTTAGTAACTCATACCATCCCTGAGGTGAAAAAATAAAGGCTTGTGCTCCAGCAACCTCTAGAAAGCATGCTATTTGGAGGGAAAATAGTCCATGAAAAACAAGGAATAGTTGGTACGAATTTGTGTTTTCCACTTTGGATGCAATAAATGAAGTTGACTTTTGCATGGAGTTCCTATAAAGTAGGCATATTACAGAGCCTACAATGGCATTTTCAATCAGCCACCTTTGAAATGCAGCACTAAAAGCCATTACATTTATAGTTTGAATTTTAATAGAGCAGACTTTGTCATGATGTTCTTTCCACTGATAAAAGCTGAGATACTAGGATATATTATCAGGGAGTAATGCTGATGGCCTATATTCCTGGAGATTTAAGAAATGGCTGTATTATATTCCTGGGTGAGTTTAATGAAGCATTGCTTGAAGGTGGGGGATGGAATGAAAGTCTCTTCTATTTCTGAAACGTGAACTTTATGGTGTGTAAATTATATATCAGTGAAGCTGTTAAAAATAATAGAAGACTCACAGAGAACTCTTCTAGCACAGTGATATTTTGAAGTAGTGACACTCAAAATACTTATCTACAGGAAAGTTAGAGAAAGGAATTTTGGAGCATTGAGCGCATGCCCCCCAAGAGGAAGGTTCTAGTTGGTTTTCATCCTCTGGGATACAACAGTGCCTTTGTCTAACGGTTCTTTCCTTTGGGAGCTTTTTCTTGATACCTGGTCATTTAACAGAAGTGCTGTCAGTGTAGCTCCCTCCATTGCAGGCTCTTTCTATTTGGAGTTAAAGTCACATTTTCAGGTCTAGCTTTCAGTTATGCCCAAAAAATATTTTAGCAATTGTAATCTAAAGCTTAGAGGGAAACCTAATCTTATAGAATGATGAGAGGCAGAATAGTATCGTAAATACTAGGACTGGATAAATATGGGGGGCATAAACAGGATCTTCAGGAGGTCAGAATATTTACAAAACGTGGAAAAACAACCTAGTAGATACAATCTGCAAAGCTCTTCCTATAACTGAAATTAGTGGCAGTTCATAGAGGAAGGATTTATGCACATGGGCTCCTGCTCAGAAGCTGGGATTGCTTCCTGGCCTGGTCCTGCCACATATGCAAAGGGCCTGGGCTCCATCCTTGAGCTGTGGGTCTGAGCAGGGGTGAAGTGCGGTCTTAGCACAAGCCCACAAACTGAAACTCTGGTGCCATCTTCCCCGACTCCCACTAACCTCCTTGGTAACTCAGTGCTGGCCCTTTCTACACTATGCTGAGTCTACAACAGTATGTGTAGGAGTCAGTCACCTGGATCCTGTTAAAGTGCGGATTCTGATTCAGCCGCTCTTGGATGGCAGCCGAGGTTGCACTTTTAGCAAGTTCCCAGGCCATGCTGCTAGTCCACAGGCCACACTTTGAGTGGCAAAGCTCAATGCTATACCGATGTCTACGTCTTCTCCCTGAATTCAACTGTCTTTATCTGCATAACACGATTACCAGGATGGTCACAGTGACAATTAGTTAAAAATATTTGTAAATGATTGCTAGAGGCATGGCAATGTGAAGGCACAATGTGGGGTGTGGGGGTGCACAAAAGTATCAATTATGATCTCTTCCCTCAGGAGGTTTATTTATAATAGTGTCAGATAAGACGCAATATCTGAATACATGAGGGTCATTCGCAAGCATTGAAAAATAACCAGATATGTGTGCTAAATGATTGGCATGCACAGTCAGTAACTAAAGATGAAACGATAAAGATCAGTTGTGGGTTAGAGCACACACACGGGTTGCTGGGACTAGAACTGAGTCATTGCCAGTGGCCTTTGACTTCTCTGTTGCAGAGACTGTGTTGATGAACATTGTTTTGAAACTCTTCTCCCTCGCCCTCTGGGTTGTCACTAGATTCTCCTGCCTTTCTGAGGGCTGTTGTTTGCATCATTTATTCTGTATTTTCTGTATGGTGTTTAATGGGCCACTTCTCCAGATTCAGTCTTCACCCTCTTATTTCCCTCATTCTACCTTCCATCCTCTGTACAGAAGTTCTTTCCTCTCACCAACTCCTTCCAAAGCCATGTGTCCAGTGCAAATGCTTCTTCTGAAGCATCTCCAACAGGAACTCTGATTCGCTTCTACTCCTGACTTCTCTTTTTCACCTCTTGTTTGTATGCCTCCATTCTGTTACAGGCTGGAAACAAACCAAACAAATCTGTTGTCACCCCTGAGAGCCATTAGTTCTTTGTAAAGCCCCTGCTATGGGCCCAGTCCGAATGGCTCTCATAGGTCTCATTATCTATTTCATACCCATAGATATTTTGTTTGTTACAAAAATGTAATTTTCCTAAAATACTATTATCTCCATGGTCTGCTGCTTTAAAACCTTAATGATTTTTCTACAACCGTAGGATCAGTATCAGGCTCCTTAGCCTGATAGAGGCTGGCCTTCATCCGTTTAATTTGAAATGACCCCTTCCTTCCAGAGGGCTAGGTTTCCACCGTCTATACTTAGTCCATCCCCGCCTTGGTGTGTACCATGTTCCTGGTGGGGAACACCTGCACTCCTCTGCGCCGCCCATTTCTCCATTTCCTTTCTTCAAACCCCGGGTCCTCTCGGAAATGAGGCACAGCGGTTGGGTCTGGAATGAGTGCTACTTCTGCTGCATTCTTAGAGCCCTTATTGTAAGTGCTAGTGATTTAATACCGAATCACCTGTTCTCTTATGTGGTTATTTATCTTTTCTTAGCTTGTCTATCTGTTGTCACCCTAATTATATCATCTGTGCTCCTTGAGGGCACAAGAACGACATCTTGTTTTTCTTGCATTCTTCTCAGCCTTTACCACAACATATAGACTCTGTTGAATCAATATTTGTCAAATGACTGTATGTTCAGATGACATTATTTTGGAAGGATTTGCTGATCTAAGTTGGCATCCTGCCCCCCAAATGAAGAGCGTCTAACATACACTGACTTAGCCTAAAATTCATCTGGGGAAATTACTGAACTATGGAAAGCTCCAAGCCAACTTCAAATGCAGAAATCAAGGGGAAAGAATGGGATGGCAAAGAAGTGCATCTAGATAACACCACTAAGGGTAAAGCAGAATTATATTGTTCTGCGCATGCACACAGGTATGTCATAGTTATTCACTGATCAATTTAAAAAGTAATCTGGGAAAGCCATTCTTAACCAGGGATGCGCTTCCTAATCACCTGGTAAGCTTTTCAGAATTTGTACACATGCCCATGCCCAGCATGTCTGATTAAGTGTGGGGACTCAGGTGGGGTCTGGACATGCATATCTTGGAAGAAATACCGTGAATACTGATGACACACCTCCCTGGTTAAGAAGCACTGATCTCTGAGAAGAGAGGACTGCTGTTCAAAACTACTAAAAAAGCAGGACAACACAAATTTGGAGCTTATAGATATAGGGCCCCAATGGAAAACTTCTAGTTTTTCTGTTATATAAGTACTATTTTAGAAAATATGAAATCCCTTCAGGGGAATTATATTTCATCTGTCAGCAGTGTAGAATGCACCGAGATACATGCCAGACAGTGCCTGTAACCATCTGCTGGCATGTCCAATTTTGGGTACACCCATTTAACGCCGAAGGACCGAGTAGGAGAAACTGTTCAGCAAGGAATGTGTTGAAACACTGACGTGATATTTTTTCTCCTTCATGCCTATGTCAGTCATTTACAGCTGCATTCGTTTTGATGAATATTTCTTCCAGAAACATTTCAATGTTTATTGAAAACTGAAGTAGAGATTTTTGTGGAGTAAAGAATTTATAAAAATGAGATGCCATGTGAGACATTTTAGGAGAAACTGGTTCTGACTGGGAGCCATTTAGCTGGGGGATTACACTTTGAGGCTGCTGAAAATCTGCCTTCCTTCTCCAACAATTGCATCCAGATAACATAAAAATTAATATCTGTAATAAAAATATCTGTAAGATGACTCAGGAAGGGGCAGAGATAAATTTTCAGAATAAATGGCTTTCCTCTCGTTTGTGCCCTACCTGTGCTCATGATTTTTGAATATTGCACAGTGGGTTTAATAGCACACATCTGGGAGTAAACATATATGCTTTCATTTCAGCAGTCTTCAGTTGACTGGACAGATAAATATCCCATATGGTAACCTGGAAATCTAGGAGGAAGATAAGTCACACTTCACAGATCAGTAGTAATTTATTTGGATTGAAGTTTGCTCCATATGGAGCCTGCTGAAGTCGAGGACCCAAGATTGTCTTTTGTTTAGGAATTGCATCTTAGAGTTGATGCTGATTAAAATTACCCCCAAATGGTGCCATATCTGGATGCTTCTGTTTAGTGGTAGCACAATGACCAAAGTCTGGGAATGTTTTGAAATTGTGACTTCATTTCTACAAAGAAGCCCTGTGATGATCTTAATTTGTGATTCCATTGAACTGAGGATAACTCAGCATGAGAAATGAGTGGCTTAACCAGTTGCCTTCGTGCCACAACTCAGTCACTGTTTTTATTTGGTAGCTGTTTTACTTGGACAAATAAGCAATGCTATCTTGTGACCTCAGTAAGATAGTGGAGCCTAATAATTGAGGGCAGACAGGATCAGGGTTGTACAGGAAACAAGTTGAGTCTCATATTCCTGTATTTCAGATCAGTCTTTGATCTGAGGAAATTGTGCGGTGAATATATTCAACAGGTTTTTATAACTCAGCCACCTGTTTGCAGAAAAACCAACCGAATATTTGTAAACTGTTTTAGAATCTTCCATATAGTCCACACTCTGGTGATGGGCAAAATTTGCCAAAGAGAAAATTCAGCTTCGATTATTGTTTCCATCAGATCATGATGCGAACATCTTTGACAAAGTTCGCCATCAGAGTTCTCCTGGAGATTGATGTGGTTTTAGAATGGGAGATTAAGAAAATACCTTCATCTAGAAAAATGACATCTTTATTTTTTCAGTACTGGGA